TGGGTGACAGGAAGAGATTTCATCTCTTAAAAAAAATAAAGGAAGCAAGGAAGAGCTTCTCCTCCAAATACTCCCACATCATTTGGGGCAATTACAAGATTCCAGAAAACATGGAAAAGTTACCTTGAGTATCTTTTTGGATGTATGCTTATGAAAAAACAAATCTCTTTAATTAACTTATAGAAAGACGAAGAGGAAAGGATCCTAGGGGACATATGGTCTTACTTCCCTATTTTATTTTATTTAGAAAATTGGGTACCAAAGAAAGGAAGTAACTCACCAGGTAGAAAGAGAAGAGTGTCTCTTACCACAGGGGGTCTTCTCATTGGAAAACTGGCAAAACTTGTTCCCTGCCCGAATTCTCCAAGATCTTAGCCCAACATAGAATAGAAATGTCTCCACTTCAAAGGACAACCGGTTTGTCCTTTGCCTTTTACATCCCTTTCAGCAAGCAGTGTTTCTCAACTTTGTGTTTGTGCAAACTCTTGAGCAGCATAAACTCCTGAGCTAAGAGACACTCCACTCTGTTTGCAATTGAGGGCAAAGGCTGGGATCCTTGGGCACAGCTCCAAACTCCTTTTCCAGAAGTCTGGGGTGGCAGAAAAAAAAAGCATTAATTAATTGATTTATTAATTTATTTATTTTCAGACACAGTCTCACTCTGTCATTTAGGCTGAAATGCAATTACGCCATCTTGGCTCACTGCAACCTCCACCTCTTGAGTACAAGCTATTCTCCTGTGTCAGTCTCTCAAGTAGCTGGGATTACAGGCATGCGCTTGAGGTTAGAAGTTCAAGACCAGCCTGGCCAACATGGTGAAACCCCATCTCTACTAAAAATACAAAAATTAACCAGGCATAGTGGCTGGCGCCTGTAATCCCAGGAACTCGGGGGAGCCTGAGGCATGAGAATTGCTTGAACCCAGGAGGCAGAGGTTGCAGTGAGCTGAGATAGCCCCACTGCACTCCAACCTAGGGGAAAGAGCAACACTCTGTCTTCAGGGGGAAAAAAAAAAAAAAAAAGGAGAATTGGAAAGTTGTATCTAGAGGCATTCAATGAAATTTGATGTTAAGAGACAAGGAAGGTCCTCTTTCTGCCATCTTTCCATGCTGCCACAATGGTGTGCCTGAACCTCCTGACTGATGCTCTCAAGAGCATCAACAATGCCAAAAAGAGAGGCAAACGCCAGGTGCTTGTTAGGCCTTGCTCCAAAGTCATCACCCAGGTTCTCACTGTGATGATGAAGCATGGTTACATTGGTGAAGTTGAAATCATTGACGATCACAGAGCTGGGAAAATTGTTTCAAACCTCATAGGCGGGCAAAACAAGCGTGCCGTGATCAGCCCCAGATTTGATGTGCAACTCAAAGATCTAGATAAATGGCAGAATAATCTGCTTCTGTCCCACCAGTTTGGTTTCATTGTACTGACAACCTCAGCTGACATCATGGACCATGAAGAAGCAAGATGAAAACACACATGAGAGAAAACCCTGCAATTCTTTTTCTAGGGATGTAATTACATATATTTACAAATAAAATGCCTCATGGAAAAAAAAATTCCTCAAGGAAAGGGAAAAAATGGAGAATGAAAAAAAGCGACACTTCAAGAGTTTGGCTGGTGTTTTTATCAGAGATAGTGTTTCTTGGACTCTTCTCCATTAAAAAAGTGGCCAGGTATAGTGACTCATTCTTGTAATCCTGACACTTTGGGAAGCCAAGGCAGGAGGATCGCTTGAGGCCAGGAGTTCAAGACAAGCCCAGGCAGCATAGCAAAACTCTATTGCTCCAAAAATGATTTTTTTTTTTTTCAGATTAGCCAGGTGCAGTGCTACACAGCTGTAGTCCCAGCTACTTTGGGGCTCAGATGTGAGGATTGCTTGAGCCCAGAATGTGGAGGCGGCAGTCAGCCGAGATCTCACCACTGCATTCCAGCCTAAGTGACAGAGCAAGACCCTGTCTCTAAAAGAATTTTTAAAATTCCCCTTGGAATTAAGATTCATATATATTCCCTATGGTTTCCAGGATATCAAGAAAAAAAAAGAGGCAGAAAGAGAGAGAAGAAAAGGAAAAATTGAGCAAGAATGGAAGAAGGGCAGGGCACAGTGTCTCACACCTGTAATCCCAGCACTTTCAGAGACCGAGGGGGCAGATCACCTGAGGTCAGGAGTTTGAGACCTGCCTGGCCAACATGGCGAAACTCCATCTTTACTAAATTTGTAACTATCTTGAGGAGACATATGAGGAGAAACAGGTCATTGTCTCCAGCATCAAAGGAATGAACCAAGATGTTGAATTCTGAAGAGCCAACACTTTCCCAAGAAGCCTCCACAGTGTGACCTCACAGGACCTCCACCAGCACTGAGTGTCAGAATTAAGGCATCTGAGGGTGAGCCACATTCTTGCAGAGGCCCCACTCAGATGTGGCCTGGAGTGATCAAAAGATGATGTGGCAGCTCCTCACCAGATGTTCTGTTCCCACTCTTGCCCCTCCATGTCCTGCAACTTCGGCCTCCCAGGTTCAAGCAATTCTCTTGCCTCAGCCTTCCAAGTAGCTGAAATTACAGGCACCTGCCACCATGCTGGGCTAATTTTTGTATTTTTTAGTGGAGACAGGGCTTCACTATGTTGGCCAGGCTGTCCTCAAACTCCTGACCTCAGGTGATCCAACCGTCTTGGCCTCCCAAAGTCCTGGGATTACAGGTGAGAGCCACCATGCCTGGCCTTTTTTGTTTGTTGTTTGTTTGTTTGTTTGTTTTTAGAGGTAAGCTGTAGCTGTCACTCAGGCTGGAGTGCAGTGGTGAAATCATGGCTTACTGCAGCCTCTATCTCCTGGGGTCAAGTGATCCTCCCATTTCAGCCCCCTGAGGAGCTAGGACTACAGACATGTGCCACCACATGTGGTTAATTTTTTTTTTTTTTCAAAATAGAGTTTTACTGTTGTCCAGGCTGGAGTGCAATGGCTTGATCTTGGCTCACTAAAAACTCTGCCTCCTGGATTCAAGCAATTCTCCTGCCTTAGCTTCCCGAGTAGCTGGGATTACAGTCATTCACCACCACATCTGGCTATGTTTTATATTTTTAGTAGAGATGGAGTTTTACCATGTTGGCCAGGCTAGTCTCAAACTCCTGACCTCAGGTGATCCACCCACCTCAGCCTCCCAAAGTGCTGGGATTACTGGAGCAAGCCACTGCCCCTGGCATACCTGGCTAACTAAAAGTTATTTTTGCAGAGACAGGGGTCTCTGTATGTTGCCCAGGCTGGTATTAAACGCCTAGCCTAATGTGACTCCCCCCTTTAGCCTCCCAAAGTGCTGGGATTATGGGCATGAATCACCATGCCCAGCCTCACTTTTTTTTTTAATTAACTCAGTTTCAATTTCCCATTATAGAAATACCATCAAATAGAAAATGTCAATGTTAAGTAGGATTTCCATGAAAAGGTGGCAAATCACACAATCTCCCTTCCTTGATGTTTATTCATACCTTTTACCATTTTTTTTTTGAGGTGGAGTCTCCCTCTGTTGCCCAGGCTGGAGTGTAGTGGCACAATCTTGGCTCACTGCAACCTCTGGTTCACTGAAACCTCCACCTCCCAGGTTCAAGCAGTTCTCCTGCCTCAGTCTCCTGAGTAGCTGGGATTACAGGTTCGCACCACCACACCCAGCTAATTTTTGTATTTTTAGCAGAGACATGGTTTCACCATGTTGGCCAGGCTAGTCTCAAACTCCTGTACACACCTCGGCCTCCCAAGGCACTGAGATTACAGGCATGAGCCACCTCAACTGACTCCTTAATACTTATTCATTCTAATAACATTTATTGTGTGCCTACTATGTGCAATTACTAGATTAGGTTCTGAGAATGAACCAAGATGAGATTCCTACCATAGGGAGCTTCTGTTCTGATTCGGTGTGAGTTTGGGAGGAGAATATGCAGAGAAGCAATTCAATAAATAACAAGCTGATTTTTGAGTGTGATATCTGCCTTGAGAGAACCAGGCAGGATGAGGCAATGCAAAGGAGGATGATTCCCCCTTCACAGGTTGAGGGAGAATTTCTCTGCAGAGGTGATGTGTGAGTTGAGGTCTGAAACATTAGAAAAATCCAGCTGTGGCGGGAGGTGTGGGAAGTCCATTTTGGGGAGGGAAGAGCATGTGCAATGATCCTGAAGAGGGAAACCACTTGGCATTTACCGGAGCAAAAAGGAAGCCCAGATGTCTGATGCACACAAGAGGAAAAGAATAGAGGTAGCAGGCAGGATCAGATCATACTAGGATTTGTTTGTTTTTTAAAGAGACATGGTCTCACTCCATCACCCAGGCTGGAGTGCAGGGGGGCAATCATAGCTCACTGCAGCCTCAATCTCTCCTGGGTTCAAGGTGTTTTGTCATCTCAGCCTCTCAAGTAGCTGGGACTATAGGCATAAACCCCACCAGGCCTGGCTAATTTGTTTTTCATTGTTATTAGAGATGGGAGTTTTGCTGTGTTGACTAGGTAGGTCTCAAACTCCCAGACTCAAGTGATCCTCCCATCCTGACCCCAAAAAGCACTGGAATTACAGGTTTGTACAGTACATCTGGCCAAGATTGGGGTTTAAAAATGCTTTACTTTTAATTTTTGTGGGTACATAGTAGGTGTATATATTTGTGGGTACATGAGAGGCTCTGATACAGTCATGCAATATGTAATAATCACATCAGGGTAAATGGAATACCCCTCACCTTAAGCACTTATCCTTTCTTAGTTTTACAAACAATTCAATTATGCTATTTTCCTTCTTTCTTTTTTTTTTTTTAGACAGAGTGGAGTGCTGTCTCCTGGCTGGAGTGCAGTGGTGCAATCTCGGCTCACTGCAACATCCACCCCCACTCCAGGTTCAAGTAATTCTCCAGCCTCAGCCTCCTTAGTAGCTAGGACTACAGGCGCATGCCACCAAGCCCGGCTAATTTTTTTATTTTTAGTAAAGACAGTTTTTCATCATGTCAGGCTGGTCTCGAACTCCTGACCTCAGGTGATCCTCCTGCGTTGGCCTCCCAAAGTGCTGGGATTACAGGCATAAGCCACCATACCTGGCCTATTTTAGCTATTTTAAAATATACAATAAATTATAGTTTACCATTGTCATTCTGTTGTACTAAAAAGTACTACATCTTATTCATTCTAACTGTATTTTTGTACCCATTAATTATTTCTGTGCACCCCCTCCAGTCCTCTACCCTCCCCAGCCTCTGGAAACTATCATTATACTTTCTATTTCCATGAGTTCAATTGTTTTAATTTTCAGCACCCACAATGACTAGGAGCATGTAAAATTTGTCTTTCTGTGGCTGGCTTATTTTAGTAAACATAATGATCTCCAGTTCTACCCATGTTGTTGCAAATAACAGGATTCTATTCTTTTTCATGGCTGAATAATATTGTATTGTGTATATGTACCATATTTTCTTTGTCCATTGACCTGTTAATGGACACTTAGATTGCTTCCAAATCTTGGCTATTGTCAATAGTGTTGCAATAAATATAGAAATGTAGATATTTCTTTGATATACTGATTTTCTCTTTTGGGTATATACCCAGCAGTAGAATTACTGTGTCATAAAGTAGCACTCTTTTTAATTTTTTGAGGAAACTTCAAACCATTCTCCATAGTGGTTGCACTAATTTACATTCCCACAAATAGTGTACCAGTGTTTCCTTTTCTTTACATCCTCATTAGCCTTTGTTATTGCCTGACTTTTGGATATAAGCCATTTAAACTGGGGTGGGATGATAGCTCATTGTAGTTTTAATCTGCACTTCTCTGATGATCAGTGATGTTGAGCACCTTTTCATATACTCGTTTGCCATTTGTGTGTCTTCTTTTTAGAAATGTCTATTCTGATCTATTGCCCATTTAAATCAGATTATTAGAGCTTTTTTTCTATTGATTTTGTTTCCCCTGAGCTCCTTATATACTCAAGGGTTATTAATCCCTTGTCAGATAGATTCAGAATTGGGTTTTGTCTTTATTTTACACTCAATTCTAAACCATTAAATGCTGTCAAGTGGAGAAGTGGCATAATATTTATATTGGAAGATGACTCTGTATTTGCTACCTATTGCTGTGTAACATACCAGCTGGGCATGGTGGTTCATGCCTGTAATCCCAGCACTTTGGGAGGCCAAGGCAGGTGGATCACGAGGTCAGGAGTTAGAGACCAGCCTGGCCAACACAATCAAACCTCGTCTTTACTAAAAATACAAAAATTAGCCAGGTGTGGTAGCACACGCCTGTAATCCTAGCTACTCAGGAGGATGATACAGAAGAATCACTTGAACTCTGGAGGTGGAGGTTGCAGTGAGCTGAGATCAAGCCACTGCATTCCAGCCTAAGGGAAAGAGTGAGACTCCATCTCAGAAAACTAACACACACACACACACAAACACACACACACACACACCACCACCACCAACAACAACAACAACAAAAACCACCCCAAGGTATAAAGTTACAATGATGCTTATTAGTCTTCTCACAATTCTGGAGGCTGACTAAACTCACCTAGGCAGTTCTGGCTCAGGATGTGGTTGCCTTCAAAAAGTATGGAGTTGGAATAGTCTCGAAGGTTTCCTTGCTCCAATATCTCCTGGTTAATGTGGGCTGTCAGCCAGGGCCGCAGCTGGGGCTATCTGGTGGAACACCCACACATAACCTCCCTACATAGTCTGGGCTTTCTCACAAAATGGTGAATGGGTTCTAAGGGCACCCTTCCCAGGAAGGAGAGCTAAGTGGAAACAGTATCATCTTTTATGACCTAACTTTGGCAGGTCATGAGAAACACTTCCACTGTATTCTACTTACAGAAGCAGGGCACTAAGTTCATATTCAAGGGAAGAGATGACAAGTGTAAAAAAAATTTGCAGACAACTATTCACAATAGTGACGAATTGGAATCAACCTAAGTTTCCTTCCATCAATAGAAAAAATAAAGAAAATGTGGCAGCCAGGCACGGTGGTTCACACCTGTAATCCCAGCAATTTGGGAGACCGAGGCAGGAAGATCACCTGAGGTCAGGAGTTTGAGACCAGACTGACAAACATGGCGAAACCCCATCTCTACTAAAAATACAAAAATTAGCCGGGTGTGGTGGTGTACACCTGTAATCCCAGCTACTTTTAGAGGCTGAGGCAAGAGAATCACTTGAAATTGGGAGGCAAAGGTTGCGGTGAGCCGAGATTGTACCACTGAACTTCAGCCTGGGTGACACAGTAAGACTGTGTGTCTCAGAAAAAAAAAAAAAAATCAAAGTGAATCAGAGAATAAAAGAACTACGTTAAACAACTGAAAAAGTTTATGGAAATTAGAGATAGTAGTCTAACGCTGAGTTGTCAAGTGGTGACCCTGAGTTAGAGAACCTAAAAAAAAACCAGGGCTGGGCACGGGGGCTCACACCTATAATCCCAGTGCTTTAGGGGGCTAAGGTGGGAGGATAGCCTCCTCCATAAGGTGGGACTCATGGTCATTAATATGGTCCATGGTCATTAATAATGATACTTTGTCCTTCTTTCATGTTTGTGCTAAGGGTGCTTTCAAAAGCTGGAAGAAGCTTATCAATTTCTAGGTATGGAAAAATCTCTTTCACCATGTATATGTGGGAGTGTGTGTATGCTATGAAAATATATACACACATATATTCACATATAAATATACACACATATCTACATATATATTTATAGTATACTAATTAAAAGGTAAATTCTTAATGATCTATAAAAAGAGAATGGCAGGCCAGGTGTAGTGGCTCACACCTGTGATCCCAGCACAGCGGGAAGTTGACGGGAAAGGATCACTTGGGCCCAGGAGTTTGAAGCTGGCCCAGGAAACACAGTGAGACCCCATCTCTACAACAAATATAAAAATTAGATGGGCATGGCAGCTTATACCTAGGGTCCCAGCTACTCAGGAGGCTGAAGTGGGAGGATGACTTAAGCCAAGAAGGCAGAGGTTGCAGTGAGCTCAGATCACACCACTGTGTTTCAGCCTAAATGACAAAGCAGTAACTTGTCTCAAAAGAAAAAAAAAAAAAAAAAAGGAAAAATTGGTATCCCAGGAAGCTTTAAAGTATCTATATATTCACAAATGTATATAATCATAGTATATTAATCAAAAAGTAAATTCTTAATACTTCATGGCAAGCAAATGACAGCACATGGAGAGGCCCAGGCAAGGGGATTGCTTGTGTCCAAAGTTTAAGACCACCCTAAGCAACAGAGTGAGAACCAACCTCTCAAACCAAATCAGAAATTAGTCAGGGATTGTGGCATAAGCCTATAGTCTACACTACTCAAGATGCTGACTTGGGAAAACCAGTGGAGGCCAAAAGGGCTGCAGTGGAGCCATGATCACACGATGACACTCCAGCCTGGGAGGCAGAGCAAGACCCTAAGAAAAAAAAATTAACTGTAAAAAATATAAAAAAAGAAGACATGAAATGAGAAGCTACCATGTCCAGGGCAAAGACAAACAGCCCAAGCAGAGGCCCATTCCCCTCTGAAGCCCCAGAAGACAAGAAAAACCATGAGACACTAAATAAAAGAGACATCACTGTAAAAAGACACAGGCAGAAGTTACTACAAATCTGTCAAAAATACACTCTTAGGGTTAAAAGTGAGACAGGTGTTTAGCTAAGGCACACTGCTAAAAAGTGAACAAATGAGAGTCCAGGAAAGCTTTGGGCCTTTTGATGCTGTTGACGATCAAAGATCTATAGAGCTGAATCCAGAAGAGGCCACTGTGAGTCAAGTGCAGGACAGAAAAAACCACCATGAGGCAGGAGATGAGCCTGGAGTGTCCACTAAGAGGCAGAAGATAAGCCTGCAGAGGCCATGGTGAGGCACAAGCTGGTATAAGAAAGGCCACTATGAAAAAAAAAGCTGAATCTTGCGAGGCAGATGTGACACTGAGGATGGGGCTGAAGAGGCCACTGTGAGGCAAATGAAAGGCCTGCCAAAATGGCTGAAAAACAGGTAGTAACAAGGCCAGAAAAGGCCCATATAGGGAACAGCTGAGCTGAAGAGGATGTGGTCAGGCAGGAGCTGGGTCTGTCTGGGCCACCAGTAGGCCAAAGGAAGGCCTTGAAAGTCTGCCTTGAACAAAACTAAAGTCTACAGAGGGTTCTGGGAGCTGGGCAGGAGCAGGGACAAACATGGTTGCTGCAAAGCAAGAGTTGAGCCTGTAGACCCAGTGAGGAAGAAGAGCTGGGCTTGGGGAGGCCACCATAAGGGAGGCTGAGGCCAAGCCTGGAGAGGCCGGGAGGCAGGAGCTGGGCCGAAGGAGGCCACTGGGAGGCAGGAGCTGGCCCTGGAGGGGCCTGCATCAGGAAGATTTGTGCCCAGAGAGGCCACCGGGAGGGCAGAAGCTGGGTCTGGAGAGGCCGACTGCAAGGCCATTTGGGCCTGCTGTGGCCACCGGGAGGAGACTGGAGCTGGGTCAAAAGAAGTGATTTCAGGAAGTTTGGGGCCTTGGAGATGCTGTCAGAGGGCAGGAGCTGAGCCTGGAGAGGCCACCATGAGGCATGAGCTGGGTGGGCCTGGAGAGGTTGACTTGAGAAACTTTCAGACCTACGAAGGCCGCCAGGAGCTGGGCAGGAGTTGAGTCTACAGAGTTTCTTGTGAGGCAGGAGGTAGGCCTGTCGATGTAGCCAGTAGGTAGAGCAGGGCCCGAACTGGATGCCAGGAGGCAGCACCTGGGCCTGGAGAGGCCGCAAGAGGCATGAGCTGTGTCCATCCAGAGAGGCTTCCAAAAGGCTTTGAGAAGTAAAGTGTGGGTTCTGCAGAGGGTGTTCTCAAGCTAAAGCTGGGCCTTTACATGCCACTGAGAGATAGATGTTGGGCCTGGAGAGGTGAACTTAAGGACGGTTTGGGCCTATAGTGGTTGATAGCAAATGGGCTGGAGCTGGGCCAAAAGAGGTTTTTATGAGGCACCAGGTGTGCTGTATAGTCAGCTAAGACATACAGTTGGGTCACGAGATGCCATCATGAGGCAGAGGCTGGGTTTTTAGAGGCCAATGGGAGGCAGGATCTGGGCCAGGAGAGGCCAACTTGAGAAGGATTTGGGTGTTAAGAGGCCACCAGGAGGAAGTAGGTGGGCCTAGAGAGGCTGACTTGAGGAAGTTTTTGGCCTGGAAACACCATTCTGGGACAAAAGCTGCAACTGGAGATGCTATTGTGAGGCATAAGCTTTGCATAGAGAGGCCAGTGTGTGGCAGGACCTGGGCCTATCCAGGCTGCCAGGGGATAGAAAGCAACCTGGCCATGAAGCAAAAGCTAGGTCTGGAACGGCCCCTGTGAGGCATAAGCTTAGCCTAAAGAGGCCATTGGGTGGCAGGAACTGGGCATGTAGAGGCTGCCAAAAAGCAGGAGCTTGGCTTGGTGGGCCCATGATGAGGCAGATGCTGGGCATGAAAAGTCTGCTGTGAGGCAGAGGTTAGGCCTGTAGAGGCAGATGGGAGCCAGCAGCTGGGCCTGGAGAGGCTGCCAGCATGCAGTAGCTTTGCCTGGGGAGGCTGCCAAGAGGCATAAGCTGGGCCTAAAGACCCCAGGGTGAGGCAAGTGCTCAGCCTGGGGTGGCCGACTTCAGGAAGATTCCAGCCTGGAGAGTGTGTCGGGGGCAGGAGCTGGGCCTGCAGAGGCCACCATGAGCTGGGCCTAATGAGGTTAGTGTGAGTCAGGACCTGGGCCTGTCGAGGCTGCCAGGAGGCAGGTAGAAACTTGTTCAGGGAAGACCTCCGTGAGGCAAAATCTGGGCCTGGAGAGTCCACTGGCAGACAAGAGCTGAGCTGGAGAGGCCACTGTCACTCAGGAGCTGGGCCTGTCCAAGCCATTGGGAGGCTGAACTTGGGCCTGGAGAGCTTGACTTGAGGCAGTTTTGGGCCTAAAAAGGCTACTAGGAGCTAGGCAGGAGCTGAGCCAAAAGAGGTGGTTGTGAGGCAGGCACTGGCCCTCTAGGCACAGCTGAGAGGAAGAGTTGGGCCTTGAGAGGCTGACTTAGGACAATTTGGGCCCAGATAAGCCACCCAGAGGCAGGAGCTGGGACTAAAGAGGCCATTGTAAGGGAGGAGCTGGGCCTGCATGAGCCACTGGCAGGCAAAAGTTGGGCCTCAAGAGGCCACTGAAAAACAAGAGCTGGGTCTTAGAAGGTGATCGTAAAGCAAAAGCTGGCCCTTGGGAGGTCAATAAGAGGCAGGAGCTGGGCCTGGTGAGTTCGACTTGAGAAAGTTCTGGGCCTAGAGAGAAGGCTGGGAGACAGGAGCTGGGCCTAAAGAGGCCATTGTAATGATGAACCTGGGCCTGTGGAAGCTGCCGTGAGGCAGTAGCCTCATCTGCAAAGACTACCATGAGGTAGGGTATGGGCCTAAATAGACCATTGTGAGCCATGAGCTTGGCCTCTAGCCAACTAGAAAAAGTTCTGGGCCTGGAGAGGCTGCCGGCAGGCCGGAGCAGAGCCAAAAGATTCAAGCAGGTTACATTTATTGGACACTATTTCCATTATTATATTGTAATATATAATGAAATAATTATAGAACTCACCGTAATGTAGAATTAGTAGGCATGTTAAGCTTGTTTCCCTGCGACTAGATGGTCCCATCTGAGTGTGATGGGAGAAAGTGACAGATCATCAGGCATTAGATTCTCACAGGGACCACACAACCTTGATCCCTCGCGTGCCTGGTTCGCAATAGGGTTTGTGCTCCTAAGAGAATCTAATGCTGCTGCTGATCTCAGAAAAGGCAGAGAGGTCAGGGGGAATGTGAGAAACAGGGAATGTCTGTAAATACAGATGAAGCTTCCCTCACTAGACACCACTCACCTCCTGCTGCGTGGCTCCCTACAGCTCCATGGCTCAGGGGTTGGGCACCCCTGCTCAAGTACATCCAAAAGGACCCTTTCCATGCCAGTCATTATATTGGTCAAGTGCGGTAACCACTTTGCTCCCAAAGCATGTGCCTCAGCTGGCATTTGATCACAATCAACAGTAAGTTGTAGCTTGAGTCATTATAAGGTCACTTCTCGAAAACCACCAGCATCCCATTTTCCATTGGTAAGGAGCTCAGCACTGCCCCTTGGATAACCAAACCTATGCCCAAATCTCATCTGCATGGGTCTATCTCCTGGGACCCTTCCTAGCATCAACACTGTATTAGTCAGAGTCCAGTCAGGAGACATAAACCACTCAAAAGTTTAAAGTGGTAAAATTTAATACAGAGAATTACTCATTATAACAGGGGAACAGCATAATGAGAAATTGGCTAGCACAAAGTAAAGAGAACTCTAGAGAATATATAGGACTAGCCAAGGTCAGGCATGGTGGCTTATGCCTGAAATTCCAGCAACTTAACAAGCCAATACAGGAGGATTGCTTGAGGCCAGAAGCTAGAGACCTGCCTGGGCAACACAGCAAGACCCTGTCTCTATACAAAAAAAGAAAAAAATTAGCTGGGTGTGGGGAAAGCTGAAGACGGAGAGTAGATTGAGCCTGGGAGGTCAAGGTTACAGTGAATTATGATTATACCACTACAGTCAAGCCTGGGTGACAGAGCAAGACCCTGTCTCAAAGAACAAAACAAAAAAGACAACCATTTACAGACAGAAAAGAAACAGAGCTAATAAGCTAAGATAAGGAAAGATGTTGAGATGTGACAAATAAATAAAGCAACATGAGGTCTTTTGTCTATTTTAAACAATCTTTTAAAATAACGTATTATAATACCATATGCTGGCAAAGGTACAGTGAAATGGGCACTTCCTTTCTTTTTTTTTTTTTAAAGATGGGGTTTCACCATGTTGGCCAGGCTGGTTTTGAACTCCTGACCTCAGGTGATCCACCCACCTCAGCCTCCCAAAGTGCTAGGATTACAGGCATGAGCCACTGCACCCAGCTAATGGGCACTTTCTTATACTATGGAGGGTGTTTAAATTGTATGTAAGCCTTCCAAGGTAAAGCTTGGCAATTTTTTTAAATAACAGAGATGGTGTCTCACCATACTGCTGGCCTCAAGCAATCCTCCTGCCTTAGCCTCCCTCCTTAGCTGTAGTGCTGGGATTATAGCTGGGAGGCACCCAAAACCCTGTCAATTTATATCAAGAGCAATAAGAATGTCCATTTACCATGACTCACAGTAATCTCACTTCTGGAAATACCTTGGGAGACAATTCAATCTAAACAAAAGGTCATCTACAAAAACAGTGAAAATCTAGGAGTAATTTAAGACAGGTGATTAAATGAAATAAGAAACAGTTATAAGAAATTAAACTGGTATTTATAGGCACCTGAAAATATCAGTTAATGTTAGTGCTAGTTTTTTGTTGTTTTGAGAAAGGGTCTTACTCTGTCACCCAGGCTGGAGTGCAGAGGCCCGATTATGACTCACTGTAGTCTCAGCCTCCCTGGACCCAAGTAGCTAGGACTACCGGCACATGCCACCGCACTAGGCTAATTCATGTATTTTTCCATAGGGATGGTGACTTCCTTTGTTACTGTGGCCTGTCTCAGACTTTTGGCCTCAGGCCATCCTCCTGCCTCAGCCTCCCAAAGTGTTGTGA